TATATATATATATATATATATATATATATATATATATATATATCTATATATATATATATATATATATATATATATATATATATATATATATATCACATCTATATATATATATATATCACATCTATATATCTATATATATATATATATAAAAGTGCTGTTTTTGCATAACAACCCAGTGACAAGGATGCCTGCAGCGCTAGCACAGTGTTTTGCCGTCATGCACGCCATTGAATTTAGATTTGTGAAAATTTACAAATTTTCACTGTTGACTGTTGTCATTGTGCTAGAGAGAGTAACTGTCATGAATAAATGACATTAAACATAATCCAAGTTACATCATTTTCAGCCCCCTTTTTGGCATCTGCATTTAGTAGCAGACCAAATAGACAAATATAAGTAAATAAATAAGTTATAACATATCGATATATCGGATATCATCCAAAAATCCAATATCATGCATCCCTAAAAAAACCTTTTTACCACAAATGGTCTTGTTTATGCAAGAGGTTTAAAACTTGGTAAGCCTCTTTTCATTTCAATAACAGAATTACACTGAAGTGTAATTGTAATTCAATCCTTGTTTGCCAGCAAGATGACCTTTATGTTTTCTCCATTTAAAATCAGTTAAATCACTTATTTATCAGAAACCAATAAAGTGAATTATGAACTGGTTTAGGCACAAAAAATTGCTTGATAAAAGTTTTAGAAAGGTCACAGATTTAGGTTTAAAATTTTATTGGACACACAGTTAAGAAAACCAAGTGGTGTGAGTTAAAAACGCATCCCTGAGAATAAACGCCTTTGATAATTTTTGGTTAAACTTGGGGAACGTTGACGATAACTGGTTTTAAAAAAAAAACAGAATCACACAACAGTCTTGTTCAGTTGCTTTTCCCCATTTTTTTAAACTTTGCTTCAGGTTTCCTAACAAAAAAGACTAATAAATGAATGGCTTACTAACGAAACAGCAAAAAGGAATACACAATTGTCAGTCATCTTGTCAGGCTCAACACTTGAGGCACATACACCCCTAAACCTTCAGACACTAGTGGGTATGTATGGACAAACACATTACACAAATCAAAGTTTGTTACTAACCAAAGTTTACAGCCCAGAGGAAGAAAGCAGTTCATAAGGAGAAACAGAGGAAAGTATAAGGAAGAGCGGGTCAACACCACAATGCCAAAATTGCCTGTTGTTGAGTGACTAAGATGGGAAGGAGCTTCAGCTTTCACTTTTTCCTACTATGCTCCTAAAAAAGTAAAAAGGCTCATTGTCAGAAACCATAATGACTTGATAAGCAAGTAAAGCAACTGCAAGTGTTAGTCAAAACAGATACATTTGAGTTCAGCCTCCGGTGAGAATGTATAAAGCCTGTGAGTGACATTTACTTTTGGGATGGGGCTTTATCGCTCATGTAAATCTGTACAACCACACCCAAAATATAGTACTTTAAACCAAACTGAACTTATTATGAGACTGTAGCAGGACAGAGGTAATGAGTTCATTTTAAACTCATAAGTAGCTTCATAAAATTCTACTAACATCTTTTGGGTTTTGGCCCTTTAAGACTTTTTCTCCAATATCTCTACACTAAACTGCTACATGATCCGGCCTGCTCTATTCCACAACACGAGGAAGCTTTTGACCCAATCAATACACAGCGTTGACTTCCTTCCACGCTCAACATCAGTGCAAACCATCATCGAGAACAGCAGCCATGACCCCGAGCCTCATCAGAAAGTTCATGTGTCAGAGATACAGGAGCCGACCTCCCTGTGGACGGGCCAGAACATGCAGGCAGCTGCTGTCAGAGAGCCAGAGCGTGGGGAATTAATAGAAACAGCGTCTCTCCAGGGACACTGTTGGACCACACTGATGGCCGGATCTGATCTGGGGTCATCTTAATGCACTCTGCCTCTTCTCCTCCGCATTAGCAGGGGGAGAAACATAAAACCGTGATCATAGCAGGCATTATTTATCTTTTAGGATAGGCCCGGCTCTGAACGCTGGCACAGGGTTGTGGTAGCTGTGATATGCACACTTGTGGCAACCAAGAATGTGGGAGTGCCCTGTTAGGGATTTAAATTTCATCTGACACAGTGTGCTATTAAATCTGAATGGTTCACACTTGCAGGATTTATTTATTTTTTTATTCTTTTGTAGATGAAAGGAAACGTAGTGGGCTTTTATTTGCCATTTTTTACAAAACGCATGAATATATTCTGCAGGCTTTACATAAAATAAAACTCAGCTGTCGAGACTGAGTCGGAGTAGCAGCTAAATTAAATAGTTTGACTTCTGCTCGTTACGGTTGTTTCAGAAATGTGTTCAGTTAGCTTTATTACCATTTCCATGAGGTAACAGAATAGCTATCAGAAGGGTTTTTGTTGTTTGGACTACTTTGACTTACAGCTGCAGTTAATGTAATTTGATTACTGTGTATTGTACATTTTCTATGCAATAAATCAATCATCTGCTTGGACCAAATCTCAAACGCAGTTTAAAACTACATTCGGCGTTTCCACACAGTCACATTCACACCGTTGTTTGCTCAAAATCCTTTCTGAAAACCTGGTGACAGATTTTGATTCAACATCAGATATCTTCTGCCTTCATTTTTTATTTTATTATTCTTTCAATGCACCCATGACTATCTGTGCATATGCTGTATTACATTAAATATACAACTTGATAATGACTTTTTTTAACATTGGTGGCATCCTTTATGGGTTTTTCCTCACATATTGGTTTCGTGATTGGAGATGAAAGCGTAATGGTCCAAGTCAGCTCTGTTTGAGCAGGACCTTTAATGTCACTTTGTGACCGCACTTTTTATTTATTTCTAGCATTAAAACTTTTTTATCAAACTTTCCAACAAGACGTATGCTTATTTGCATTTAAGCAAACAGTTCTAAGTTTGCAGTGCACTGTGCCAGTGTACAGCTCTCCATCATGACTAGATTATTATTATTATTATGATCATTATTGCCAGGATGTTACAGAAACACCAGCAGTAATCTGACATGTCAAAGTTATTTATGGTGAAATGATGCTTTGCATGGAGAGACACAGGGAGAACACAAGTGAGTCTATCTCCACAGAGTCGCCCACGCACAAAGCAAGCTTGAAAGAGTCCCAGATTAAGGCCAGGTTATATAACTTGGACTACATTAGTGCTTTAGCAATGCATGCCTGCTACTGGCTACTAATGCACAGCGTGTTTTAACAACATAATGAGTCTGGAAAATGCTAGAAGCTGTTTTAATTGAGCTGAAGAGCACTTTGCATTTATAGTGAGTGTATGATGGAGGTGCAGCTAACAGACAGGATGTTGGAGTTGATGTTAGCTTGAGTAAACGTTAGCCTCCATGTTGATGTGTAATAAACAAATATGGAAACTTCTCTGAGCAGCGGTGCCTTCAAGTGCAACAGGGTGGGTGAAGAGTTTAACTTTCAGTGAAGCTGTTCTTAGCATTAAAAAAAGGAAATGTTTGCGGTGCGGACAGTTTCTGGTCCTTCTCCTCACCTCGGTATGGTGATGCACTTCGTGTTGGCGGTCTGCGTGGTGATGGCTTTCTCCAGCTCGTCCAGCTGTCCCGTCTTCTTCAGCTTCTTCACCAGACTTTTCACCGCCTTCTCGCACCACTTCTCCTCCTGCCCGTTCTGCTCGCCTTTCTTCCAGCCCAAGAGTCTCTTGACGATGGGGGGAGTGAAGGGCAAAATTGACATCTTTGTCGGAGTTCGGTCAAGTCCGTCCGGGAGTGTCGCGAAAAGTCCTCTGTTGTTTGTTTGTTGTTGTTTTGTTTTTTTTCTAGACGAAATGCGACAACAGCCGCCTCTATCCGCCGTCCCGGCTGCGAGTATGAGAGCGTTAGTGAGCTACAAACAGATTATTTGTGTTTACTTGAAGCTTCGCAGGAGCATGTCAGGGTCAAACCCCCGTTTCAGCAGCGGACTCCGTCGCCCTGACTCGAAGCTAAACCGCGGACTGTGCACCGGTAGTCTGCCGCGCGCAGGATTCTGTGTTAGCTCGCCAACAAAAGTAGTTCCACCTGTACTCCTTTTACCCGGGCTGTTTTAATGAATGAATCCAACTTGAATCGAATCCAAACTAGGTCTGTGACTAGAGACAATAAACTGAAAGTAGTAGTGTTAAATAATGCGATTGCTTTTAGTATTCTAATCGTCAAAGTTCAAAGTTGTGTGAAGTTCCGAACCATCCGCGGTGCTGTGGTCCGTCGACTGAAGTCTGCTTGAAGTCTGCGTCAGATGCAAATGCGCGAGCTGCTGCTCAGACTCTCCTTTCACGCGCTCAGACTGCTCTCAGCAGAGCCGCTGCAGCCCAGCAGCTGGCCAAGTGGGCCGTGCTGATGTTGCACAATCCTCCGCCTTTTCTCCTCGCGCTCATAAACGTGCACGTGGCGCACAATCATGCACAAGTATACAGTTGTGCAACACGCTGATCAAACTTTTCACTGCGTGCAGAAAACAGTGTGAAGAAATAAATTTCCACACACACACAAATCTTTTTCTGTGATTTATCCCCAAATTAGATACTCTGAGCCTAATTATAGTTCAGAGGGCCATACTATTTTGGTTTCCCCACCCACACACACTGTAATACAGTTTAGGTTTTGAATTTTATGAGGATAACATACTCTGTTTGTTTTTGCTGCAATTTTTGGCCTCTTACACCCAGTGTGACATTCACTGCAGAGTGCAGAGGGTGCACAGCCAAGCTTCCTGAGACTTCCGTTGTATTTTAGCGCAAACCTTTCTCTTCGAAACTGCACTGAGGGGCCTTTTCAGCTTGTCACATCTTCCACATTAAACACTGAAACATTAAAATGTATTCATGTGACCACCAGAGTCTTGCTGCTCGTGAATCAAGAAGTTTGACGGTACAACTTGGTTTCTGCACAGCGACTTTGTTTGACGCTTAGGTTTCAGTCTCTGTTGAGTGCAATCAAGGAGTGAGATGTGTGGTAACCACGGTAATCTTAATGAGCCACTGGCAGCAGCAACAACATTTCTTTTGATCTTGGTTCTCTTTACAATTCGTCTAAAGTTTATTCATGAAAATGTGGTAACCCCTATTAGTTCATATTATTACAAAGTTGAGGTTGGAGTTTTGGGCAGCAGCCATGTTTTCAGAAACGTGCCAGAGAAGGTTAGAGATCACTATCTATGGGAGCTGCTGTAAGACAGAAGGTAATGTCATTGCACGCATGCATCTGACTGCACACTCACTTGCCTCGACTTGTTGGATGCACAGAGTTACACCAAGGTGGCAATTTAGTTTATTGCTTGGTTCAGCCTCTAAATTTCAGCTACTGCCAGGATTGTGCGCACACTCTCTCATATGCATAAACACCCCCTCCTTTACAAACTTCGTGTCAAAGAGTCAAGTGCCAGATGTAGAATAGAGAGTGCAGCCGAGCTGAGCTCATCGCCGAGAGAGCGAGATAGTGGAAAAGTTTAGGGTGTGAAGCTGCTTTTGTTCTTCAGGCTTCAGAAGTACTGTAGATGAGGGCGTCGGTGTAAACTCGCTGCGCAAAGAAGCTTCCATTTAAACTCTTTTAGTAAAATAACTCAAAAGAGAATCATTTTTGCACTACACGTATTGGACTCTTCTGATGTCTGGATGGTGTTGATCTACAAACCTTCAGTCAGTGCCTCCATTGACAGCTTTTAGCCGTATTAGAATAGTATGGGCTTGTGGTTTTGGCATACAGGAGCACTGACTTGTGTCCAGCAGTCCCTCCTCACAGCACACAGAGTGTAGTTTGTGCTAAAAATACTTCAAGCAGCAGGACAAACGGCTTTCCTTTCATCTATTTTGGTTACGCAGCCATGTATATTTTTATATCTTCAAGTAAAGTTCTTTCTTCTTATGCGGAGTTGAGCAATCCTTAGTAAAGTCAACCCCACTGCTACATGTAACTGTGTTGTATCAGTCTCATTAGCAAATTACCAGACATGTTTTTTTTCTTCATAGTTTCATAACAGTTTGGATGAAAGTTTCATCCGCGGAGACTTTTAAAATAGGAATTTATGCACCATAGATGATTAACAGCCCCTCATCTGTCGTATATTTATTTTTCTCCAGCTGTAAAACCACACCACTCTCTCCGTCTGCTGGCAGCCTGGAGGAGCAGCCTGGAGGAGCAGCCTGGAGGAGCGTGCTGCCATGTGTCGTATGTTAAGGCCCCGCGGCCCTCTCGGCACCTGTTTACATCCCCAGGGACATGGCCGGCCGGGACAGCTGGTTTGTTTTAGGAGAAGTTCAGAGCCAGACTGGGCAGATTTAAGGGTGCAGGCTGGGGGGAAGGGTTACATATGGGCTGCAGTAGACAGAGGATGGGACAGACTTTAAGTGAGCTGGAGGGAGGCGGGGGTGTTGCTGTGAGAAGAACTGAGCACAAAAGACTTGTCAGTAAGACTGAATGAGCAGTGACCACGTACAATCCGATGGATGATAATGACATAGTGCCGGTTTGAACCTCAGGGGACTCAGTGTGTGTGTGTATGTGAGTGGGGGGTGATGTCAGCTGGTGGCCCACTGGAGAATAAAGGTCCCAGAGAATAGAAACTATGTTGCTGTAAGGAAATAGAGGATTAGTTTTGATTAATACAAACAAAAATCTATGCCAAAGATCACAACATACATAAAAGAATGCCTTTTTTGTTCATTTTGCCATCAGTGATAAATAGCCATATTGCTGTGATCAAAGAATACAAAGTGAAAAGTCGGTGCAAGTCAAATCCTGCCTGTTGTTCTGCATATTTTCCAGATGGATCACAAACACACAGAGGTACTTGCATCTTTTGACTAAGACTGTGAAAGCATCATTGTGAGAAGCTTGGACATTAACACGACAAAAGCAACTTTTTCTGTTCCTAAAACTGTAAAAAAAACGATATGTCCTTGATTTAATTAAGATTGATGGGAAAAGTTTTATAAATCATTGCCTGTGACCCTCAGATCTCTTATTATTATTTTTTATTATGGTGTATGTTCAATGGTACTGATATATAATTTCCAAGGCATGAAAACAGCTGATGCTAACCAAATCAATAAACTCATTCATAGGGCCAGTGTTCATGTGGAGATGGAGATGGACTCATTAACTGGGGCGGTGGAAAATAAGTAGTCAAAGCACCAGGACCCGCCCTCTCCCCTTTCAGCATCTCTGAGACAGCCATAGCCAAAGTGGTTCAAAACACCAAAGTTCATGCTCAATAATCCAGGTATAAAATCCAATAATGTTCAGTCAGGTCATCTGGACGTTTTTTGTTTTGGTTTGGTTTTTTTTGCTGAGACGTTTCATCCTTCATTCATCCAAAGGACTTCTTCAATCTGAAAAGCCACCAAACAAAACTGGCCCTGGAGGCCATCTTAGCACCAACAAATTGTTTTGTTTTTTTCCCCACTATGGAGTATGCTGTTTGTGGGAATCAGTTTGTTTGATGGCTCCTCAGATTGAAGAAGTCCTTTGGATTAAGGACGAAACATCTCAGCAAAAAAAGAAACCGTCCAGATGGCCTGATTGATCATTGTTGGATGTTATCAAAGCTTAAAACCATCTTGAACAACACCTGCCACCTGCTCCACAAGGTCCTGGACAGATGGACAGATGAAGGAACTCCTTCAGACAGAGACTGCAATCAAGATGCTCTACACAGGACATCATACATACCAGTGGACATGAGACTAATGCTGTTGTCAACACATCTGTCAAGGTTGCATGAGGTTTTGGACACAAAAAGGGAGACTTTATATGTAAAGAAGCTAAAGTAAAACTTAGGTTGTTTTCTCAAAACAAAAACAAAAGTCTGCTGTGGCAGAAAAGAGAATAAGTCTCATCACAAAACCAGAGGACTTAAAAAAAAACTTAAAAACAAAGATACTGCCAATGTCAGCCGTTTAGAGACAATAATCCACACACAATATCCATCCATCCTCTGTCTATCCATCCTTCATCCATTCAACTATCCATCCATCCATCTTTGCCTTACAGCTCAACTCCCTTTTCACCACAATGGACCAGCACAGAGCCCGCAATACTGCAAATGCTGCACCAATCTGTCTGTCAATCTCACGCTCCATTCTTCCCTGACTCGTGAACAAAACCCAGAGATACTTGAACTTCTCCACTTGAGGTAAGAACCTCACCCTCGAACCGAAGAGAACAATCCACCCTTTTCCAGCTGAGGACCATGGCCTCATATTTGGAGGTGCTGATTCTCATCCCATCCATTTCACACTCGGCTAAGAACCGCTCCATTGGGAACTGAAGATCACAGCACAATGACGCCAACAGGACCACATCATCTGCAAAGAGCAGAAATGGAATCTTGAGAGCACTGAACTGGATTCCCTGCGCCCCCTGGCTGCACCGAGAAATTCTCTCCATAAAAGTTATTAACAAAATCAGTGACAACGGGCAGCCCTCGTGGAGACTAACTCCCACCCTGAAGGGGTCCGAGACCGTCCGACATATAAGCAGTGCAAACCAAACTCTTGCACCACTTGTACGTATAGGGTCTGAACAGCCCGTAGCAATGGGCCGCCAATAACACAATGTAAAAAAAATAAATCTGGTTCAGTTTATTGTTTTATTGTTTCACATTTTCTACGTGTCTTAATTGGTTTTTATTTCCCACTTCATGGTGAATCTTGCTCTTTGTATTACATGAAGTGGCTGCAACCATGTTGATTTTCAAATGTAAAAACCTATTATTTTCTATTCTATTCCATAATGTTAAACTGAATGTCTCAATATGTGTTGAACTAATGACTGTAATTGATTTATGCTGCAATCAAATAATCCATCAATGCACCTGCTTTTTTTGTTCTGGGCTGAGAAGAACTGATGTTTATCTCTTTCAAGGTGGGGTACACCCTGGACAAGTGACGAATCCATCATAGAACCAAATGGAGACAATTAAGACAAATAACCTTTCACACT